TCTCCCGCGTCTGGTGCCGCCAAAAATAAGTGGGGGAGAGAGAGGGGGCGTTATTTAGCGGTTACATTTTAAAATTAAATTATTAATACTACTGTAAATTGCGTTTTTATTAGCCTTCTTATGTACTATTAATTAACATACAGTAGTAGTGTGCATAAATTTCTTTTTTTTTTGGTTTTTGGGTGTGGACACATAATCACGTATTTTAAAGGAATGATTACTCGCTTTTTTTTCCATTGAGGATTACTTGTGTTTGAAGACTTTTGATGTTAGTCAATTATGATTTTATAAATTCATTATTTTTTGTATCAAATAGTATTTTGTTTCTGGCAAAGAAATAATCTATACCTAGGTTATTTGTTCATTTCCGTTAATTTTTTTTTTTTTGGAAAATACGGTCAAAATCGCTTGTATTATTCAAATCAAAAATAACCTTTTTATTTTTATTTTTTTTTAGTCGATGAAAACCGCAAGTGAACGAATAAATCTATGCCTTCCAATGATCATGATCGAGTTTTTGATGTGCCAGTTACAATGTTGTCCTACAAAGAAGCCTTAGCAAGAAGTTGTAAGTTGCTAAATGTTAGTCATGGGAGACTTATGCCAATAACAATAACATGGTCAAGTTCGACTCTATGTTGATTTGGGCGCTCAACATGTTGTATGATTATTGGTTTTGGCGAGGAGAATTGTAGACTAGACGAAAAAGTAGATAATACTACATACATAAATTTAATATTCTTTTCTATTTATTTGCTGATATATATGGCATCTTTTTCTGTCTATGAGATAAGATTTATAAGATCCATTGAATTTTTATCAATCATTAATTGACAAAAGAATAATTATCCCATTATTTTTTTTTCTTTTCATAAAGTTACTTCTTATACTAACTTAAACATTCTAATAAATCCGCAATTCACCTCCATCAAAAATCTCTACAAATTCTATAGCTCAATTTTCTTTCTATAAAAGAAAAACTTTAGCCGTCAGAGAAAAAAGAAGAAAAATGGTGATTTGAGTATTCTCCCTCTCCGATGTCCGGTACTTTTATCGGCCTCGTGAGAGGGAGAGGTTGTAAACTAATAGAGTTTCTACGCTCTACATGAAATGTAAGGGATGTCCATGAGGGTTTTTGGTTAGAAGCCGATGCGACGTTATTCGCGCGTATGGTTTTTATGAGATTAGTTTGTGATTCCTTCCATTGGGTTTAGTTTGTAATTCTCTTCATTGGATTTAGTTTTTCTGGGTGACATTTTTAGTTGAGGTTGTTTTTCCTCGTTGAAGATCTATAGTTTGCTTTACATGTTAGTTTCTAGTCAATTTTGGCTATCTATTTAATGTAAGTTTTACAGTTCAAAATTGTTCAAAGGCAGCTTCGCTGAAGCTTACTCGGAACAAAATTGACAAAGGCAATCAAGGAAAAAGATATATCTAAATTAAGAGAATTGTTATCATGTTATGTAATAGATGTTGGAAATCCGACTACTATTGTGGATTCGGGAACACCTAATCGTCTACCTTCGATTCGAAACAAGATCATCTTGGTATCGCCAATGTGTTGTCAACGATTATTATCTTCACTTAATTTATGGTGTGGAAATGACCATTAGTTTCTCTTTATATCGCATATGTTGAACTTCTTCTTTGATGTAATATGTTTTAAATCAGTTTTAATAAAATAAAATGTTAAAAAATACTTAAACATTCTAATTAACTCTCTTCTAGTGCTTTTTTTAGTAACTCGTCTTGTGTATAAAGTGGAAATCTATCTTTACAGGTTTGAATTAATATGTAATTTATTTTATTACTAGAATAGTGAATAGGAAATAGAAGACTAATTAGTTTAAATCTTTCCATCTATTTGTTTTAATTGGATTAACCTAAATATAAAGTTTGATCAAAAGACTTTAAATTTGTTGTCCTAAAAAAACTTGAAAAAGTCATGAAGAATTGTTTTTTTCTTCTTGGAATTGGTGGGGAAGACACCATTACAATTCCACTAACAAAATCCTCTCAACATTTCAATATTAGTTCCAAATTATAACTTATGTTCAGTCATTTACAAATGTTCTTATATGTCAATATTCTATTCATTATAAAACTTTTTTGTTTCCTCATCTTTTATTCATTGTAATGAGTAATGTTCCATGTTAAAGATCATTCTAGTTGGTGAGCTATAGTATATGACTCCTGTAGATGTGACGGGACACGAACTATGTTTGTGAAAATTTATACGTATAAGATGA